TGTTGTTTGGCGGGCCCGGGCTGGGGATTCGAACCCACCACCTTAGGTGTATGTGGCTGGCGCCTTAGCTGCTTGAGCCACAGGCGCTGAGCCAAGAATGATCTTTAAAAGGAAAAAGGGGGTGGTGATAGTGTAATCTATCTTAGTTCACCCTGCATCCTGCCCAAAACGCAGCAGCATCCTCTTTATTTTTCCTAAGCACAGCAACATCAGAAGAGCACAACACAAGAAAGAGTTTAAGAAGAAAAGCTACAACCCCAGGTCCAGCCCCCTAAGCTACCTGTGAGGGACAAAGGATCTATAGGAGTGGTGATGAAATGCAGGGAACAAAAGCCAAAGGGTAAACCCAAACCAAATGTTCCTCACATCCGATTCCATTTATCATGAAACTTATAAACTGATTTTTGCTACATTGCTGATGGATTATCAATCAATGCATGTCCTATCACTTCAGGTAGGGAGTTTTGGGTTTTCTTTTCTGAGTAGGCTTCTAAAATTCAAATCTGGTTATATCAATAAATTTAAAATTCTTTTTTTTTGGAAACAGAGTCTCAGTCACCCTGGGGTTGAATGCTGTGGCATCATAGCTCACAGCAACCTCAAACTCTTGGATTCAAGCAATTCTCTTGCCTCAGCCTCCTAAGTAGCTGGGACTACAGGCACTTACCACAACATTCAGCTATTTTTAAAGACAGACACCTCAGGCTGGTCTTAAACTGGGAAACTCAGGCAATCCACCTGCCTCAACCTCCTAGAGTCCTAGAATTACAGGTGTGAGCAACCATGCCTGGCCTGCAATTTAAATTTTTTAATGGCTTCCTAGACCCTGCAAGTTAAAACCAAAAATTCAGAGTATAACATTACACAGCCCTAAATGAATTGACCCATACTTCCCATCCAAACTCCTTTCTCAACATTTCCTACTTTAGACTCTTCCCAAGACCATGTTTTATCATTTCTATATCCCCAGTGCACAGGGTGGCACAAAATAGTGCACAATGAATGCTTTCTGAATAAATAAGAGTTAAGAACAATTATTAAACTATACCTTGATTGAGAAACAAAATTATTTTGTTCAAGAGCTGTTTCCTCGTGTGAGTTTTGATTGCAGCTTGAATTGGCTTTAAATAAAGTCTTATTTTTCTCATCCTCTATATAACAAGCATTAACTGGATTTGCATCCTTCAAAAGAGTCTTCATTTGGTCATCACTTGATGCTTGAGACATGACTCTATGGGATTTATAACTCTGAATCTGTCTACAATGGCTTTTACTCTTATCTCCTCCTTTGGTACCTTGACCAGTGCTATCTGTGTGGAGATGCTTCAATGTATTCTGAAGATTTATGTTCCTAGATAAAATATTATCCATATATTTCTCTCTTTTTATTTTTTCCTATAATGAAAAAAAATTACAATAATTTCAATATAATCCATTTGCTTTGTAATCCAATTTATACATTCTTTAAATAATGCAGGAAAAGTATGATTGTCAATAGAACATATGTGAAAGGAAGCAGTTCACATTAGTAGGGAAAAGGAAGTTTATTCAATTGATTTGCTACAATTCAATTGATATTGAGTGGCTCAGCGCCTGTAACTCAGTGGCTAGGGCACCAGCCACATACACCAGAGCTGGCAGGTTCGAATCCAGCCCAGGCCTGCTAGGCAACAATGACAACTACAAAAAAAATAGTCAAGGGTTTTTTTTTTTGAGACAGAGCCTCAAGCTGTCCCCCTGGGTAGAGTGCCGTGGCATTACAGCTCACAGCAACCTCCAACTCCTGGGCTCAAGTGAGTCTCCTGCCTCCGCCTCCCAAGTAGCTGGGACCACAGGCGCCCGCCACAACGCCCAGCTATTTTTTGGTTGCAGCCGTCATTGTTGTTTGGCAGGTCCGGGCTGGGGATTCGAACCCGCCACCTTAGGTGTAGGTGGCTGGCGCCTTAGCCGGTTGAGCTATTGGCACTGAGCCATAGTCGAGGGTTTTGGCAGGCATCTGTAGTCCCAGCTACTTGGGAGGCTGAGGCCAAAGAATTACTTAAGCCCAGGAATTTGAGGTTGTTGTGAGTTCTGACACCACAAGCACTCTACTGAGAGGGGCAGAGTGAGCTCTGTCTCAAAAAATAAATAAAAAATAAAATGATACTGAGACAATTGGGTAGCCACCTGGGGAAAAAAATAAGTTGGATATCTCACGGTTTACACAAAGATAAAATCACAATGAACCAAATATTTAAATATAAAAATGTAATATATACGTTCTAAAAGAAACCACATATTTTAATATTCTCAACTGAAAGAAGAACTTTCCAAGTATTAAAATCAATAAGTTGGCTTGGCGCAAGTAGCAAAGTGGTTACAGGGCCAGCCATATCCACCGAGGCTGGTGGGTTCGAACCCAGCCCAGGGCCAGCTAAACAACAATGACAACTACCACGAAAAAATAGCCAGGTGCCAGGTGTTGTAGCAGGCACCTGTAGTCCTAGCTATCAGGAGGCTGAGGCAAGAGAATCGCTTAATCCCAAGAGTTTGAGGTTGCTGTGAGCTGTGACACCACGGCACTCTACCCAGGGTGACATAGTGAGACTCTATCTCAAAAAAAAAAAAGTCATAATGGAAGAAAACCAATATAATAGCCACATAAAAAGTTTTTAAAGTTCTGCTAGAGACCAAGAATGATGGAGGGAGGAGCTCAGAGGAAAAAAGGGCCAGAAGCAAAAACAAGTGATAATCAAAACACCCAGGAATAATAGCTATAAATTATATCTTAATGTACAAGATAATTTTTTTTTCTAAGACAGAGTCTCCCTGGGTGGAGTGCAGTTGCATCACCATAGCACACTGCAGTTGCAAACTTCAGGGCTTAAGCGATGAACCCTAGGCCTCCTGAGTAGCTGAGACTACAAGCATACATTGCAAGACCTGGCTAATTTTTTTTTTGTTTTAGACAGAGCCTCACTTTGTTGCCCTTGGTAGAGCGCTGTGGCATCATAGCTCACAGCAACTTCAAACTCTTGGGCTCAGCCTCCCCAGTACCTGGGACTACAGGTGCCCACTACAACACTCAGCTATTTTTAGAGATGGGGGTCTCACCCTTGTTCAGGCTGATCTTGAATTCCTGAGCTCAGGCAATCCACCTCTCTTGGCCTCCCAGAGTGCTATCATTAAGGTCACCATGCCCAGTCAACTCAGGCTGATCCTGAACTCATGAACTCAAGTGATTCCCCATGCCTTGGCCTCCCTAAGTGCTAGGACTGCAGGCATGAGCCACCAAGCCTTACCCAGAATAATTCTTTAAATGACATTTGTGAAAAGCTACAAAGAAATATTTCAACAATTGCATAGAAAAACAGGCAAGGGAAATAGTTCACAGAAAAGAAAACATAAATAGCTCTTCAAAATAAGAAAAAAGTTCCATTTCTTATAATAAGAGAAATGAATATTAAACCTAAGTGAGTATTAAAGAAATATTGATAAATCTTTCTCCAGGTATCACACTGGCAAACATCAAAATACTAAAGCAATATAGACACTCTTAAACATTACTTGCGGGAGTGTAAATTGGTACAACCTTCACAGAGAAACAATTTGGTGTATCTTTCACAATAAAAACGTGCATATCTGTTTTTAAAAAAATCCTATAGAGCTGACACACTAGCTCACAGCTGTAATCCTAGCACTGTAAGAGGCAAAGGCAGGATTCCTTTAGCCCAAAAGTTTGAGACCAGCCCAGGCAACATAATGAGACTCCGTCTCTACACGTTTTTTTAAAAAAATTAACTGGGTGCGGTGACCCATGCCTGTAACCCTAGCTACTCTGGAGGCTGAAGCAAGAGGATCACTTAAGCCCCAAAATTCAAGGCTGCTGTAAAATATGATTGGTTAACTATACTCCAACAGAGTATTCTGTGGGCAACAGAATGAGACCCTGACTCAAAAAAAAAAAAAATCCTATAAATTACCTTTACATGTGCACAGTGTTAATTGTTATTAATTGCAACACTGTTTGTAACAAATCAAAGTTTAAAATAACCTAAAGGTTTATCAGAAAAGGAACTAGTATATTATTAATATATCCATCCAATGATATACTCTACAATTATGAAAATAAAGAACACTTCCAGCTAATGATGAATTAAATACCTATATTGATTTTTGGTCCTTTGAAAAAAAAAAACAATCATTAAAAAACAACAATCTGAGATTAAAACAACCCACAAGAATAATGAGAAATGAAGAAGAAACAAAGGTAACGATGCTTGGCGCCGATAGCTCAAGTGGCTAAGGCATCAGCCACATACACCAGAGCTGGCAGGTTCAAATCCAGCCTGGGCCTGCCAAACAACAATGACTACAACCAAAAAATAGCTGGGCGTTGTGGTGGGCACCTGTAGTCCCAGCTACTTGGGAGGCTGAGGCAAGAGAATCTCTTAAGCCCAAGAGTTGGAGATTGCTGTGAGCTGCGATGCTACAGCACTCTACTCAGGGTGACAGCTTGAGGCTCTGTCTAAAAGAAAAAAAAAAGGCAACAAAATTTTCAAAACTAGGCTGGGCACAGGGCCTCATCCTGTAATCCTAGCACTCTGGGAGGCGGAGGTAGGAAGATTGCCTGAAGTCAGGAGTTCCAGACCAGCCTGAGCAAAAGTGAGACCCCATCTCTATAAAAAATAGAAAAAATAGTCAGGCATGGTAGCTCATGCCTATCGTTCCAGCTACTTAGGAGGCTGAGGGAGGAGGATTAAAAGACATTGTCTCAAAAAATAATTTTTTTTTAATTAGAAAGAAAATGGGTAAGTGATAACTTACTTAGCAGACTTGGTAAAATTGAATCCAAAGATAACAGTGGGAAAATCCAAGAAATTACCTAGGATACACCACCAAACTATCCAAAGGCAAAGACCCTGTCTCAAACAAACAAAAAAATATTGAAAGGACCTACTAAGCACAGAACACAATGGATGAAGAGACCGACATCAAAGTACTTCATAGTGAAACCTCAGAACATTGGAGATAGGCTTGGCACCTGTGGCTCAAGCAGCTAAGGCACCAGCCACATACACCTGAGCTGGTGGGTTCGAATCCAGCCCAGCCCGCCAAACAACAATGACAGCTGCAACCAAAAAATAGCTAGGCGTTGTGGCGGGCACCTGTAATCCCAGCTACTAGGGAGGTGGAGGCAGGAGAATCGCTTGAGCCCAGGAGTTGGAGGTTGCTGTGAGCTGTGATGCCACAGCACTCTACCCAGGGTGACAGCTTGCGGCTTTGTCTCAAAAAAAAAAAAAAATTGGAGATAAAAGACTATACAAACTGGGTGGCGCCTGTGGCTCAAACGAGTAAGGTGCCAGCCCCATATACTGAAGATCATGGGTTCAAACCTGGCCCTGGCCAAAAACTGCAAAAAAGAAAAGAAAAACAGAAAAATATTTTTTAAAAGAAAAAAAGATGGGGCGGCGCCTTTGAGTAGGGCCCCAGCCCCTTATGGCGGAGGTGGTGGGTTCAAACCCAGCTCCAGCCAAACCCCCCCCCAAAAATAAAAAAAGACTATACAAACTTATGAAGAGAGAAAACAGGGATTAGAATGGCTTTAGACCTCAAGAATAACACCAGAAACTACAAGACTATGGAATAACATCTTCAATATACTGAGGAAAGGTGATTTACAATCCAGCCAAACTATCAATTAATTTTGAAAGCAAAAAAAAAAATATTTCATACTTGTAAGCTCTCAAAAATTTACATTATATCCACCTTTTCTCAGGAAAATACATACAGTAGAATATACGCCATCAAAATGGGAATAAACAAAGAGAGGATGGCATGGAATCCAGGAAACGGGATCAAACTAGGAATGATGCAAAGAGAATCTATATAATGATGCTATAAAGAAATAGTCCACAATAGCTAACTTCTGAAGCTCTGACCTCTATTATACCTTAGAGCACATACTATCACCATGACTTATCACCCAGTATTTGTCAGGTTTCTCCACAAATAAAGTTATTCGTTGTATCCTTTTTTTTTTTTTTTTTTTTTTT